TATGCTCGCTACCTCGAACTTGGATCTGCCATGGAACAATTCACGGGAAAGTTTTAAATGTCTGAATTTAAAAAAATTAAAGAAGAAGCCTTTCTTGCCAATCGGCAATTGCCTGAGCTGGGACTGGTGTTATTTACCTTCGGGAATGTCAGTGTAGTTGATCGTGCTAAGGAGGTTTTTGCGATTAAGCCTTCGGGTATACCTTACCAAGATTTGTCACCCGAAGTGATGACAGTGGTTGATTTTGATGGCAATGTGGTAGAAGGTACATTACGCCCTTCTTCCGATACCAAAACACATGCAGTGCTTTATCGTGCTTGGCCTTTGATTGGCGCGATTACCCATACCCACTCAACCTATGCATCGAGTTGGGCGCAAAGTGGTCGTGATATACCGATTTATGGCACGACACATGCTGATCACAATACGGTTGATATTCCCTGTACTTTGCCAATGTCTGATGAGATGATTTTAGGTGATTATGAGTATGAGACAGGGCAGCAAGTTTTGCAGTGTTTTGAACAGCGTGATTTATCGTATGAAGCGGTAGAGATGGTTTTAATCGGGAGCCATGCGCCCTTTACTTGGGGTAAAACGGCAGAAAAAGCCGTTTATAATAGTGCCGTTCTTGAACAAATTGCGCACATGGCTTGGTTAACCGAACAAATTAACCCGCAAACAAGTCGCCTTAAAGATGCTTTGATTCAAAAACATTTTGAACGCAAACATGGTAAAAATCGTTATTATGGGCAAAATTAGCCTTGGTTTTGTTTAACAAATAATATTTGGAGTGATCGTGATCGATTTAAAAAAATATGAAGTATGGTTCGTGACGGGTAGTCAGCACTTATATGGTGCTGCCGTTTTAGAACAAGTTGCTAAAAATGCGCAAACCATTGCGAATTACCTCAACAGCCAAGCGAGCATCCCAGTACAGATTGTTTTTAAGCCTGTTGTGAAAACGATGGAAGAAATTACCGCTTTGTGTAAAGAAGCTAACCATACCGAAAACTGTGCCGGTTTGATCACATGGATGCATACATTTTCCCCAGCTAAGATGTGGATTAATGGCTTAAAACAACTTATCAAACCAACTTTGCATTTGCATACCCAGTTTAATCGCGATATTCCTTGGTCTGAAATTGATATGAATTTCATGAATCTTAATCAAAGTGCGCATGGGGATCGTGAGTATGGTTACATCGTTACCCGCTTAGGTTTAAATCGTAAAGTTGTGGTGGGGTATTGGCAAGACCCTAACATTTTAGGCGACATCAATGATTGGGCACGCGCCGCTTGTGCATGGCAAGATTGGCAAGGAGCGCGTTTTATTCGTTTTGGTGACAATATGCGTAATGTTGCCGTCACCGAGGGAGATAAAATTCAAGCAGAAATTGACTTTGGTTATACCGTTAATACTTTTGCCGTCGGGGATTTAGTGAAAGTGATTCATCAAGTTAGTGATGATGCTATCAATGGCTTATTACAAGATTATGCGGAACAATATGAATTGGCGCATAACCTGACGGAGTCTGGCGATGCGCGTGAGGCTTTACGTGAGGCGGCTCGCATAGAGCTAGGCATGGAGGCTTTTTTGCAACAAGAAAATGCCAAAGGGTTTACCAATACCTTTGAAGATTTGCACGGTATGGCCCAATTACCAGGGATTGCCAGTCAACGATTAATGGCTAAAGGTTATGGTTTCGCCGCTGAGGGTGATTGGAAAACAGCAGCCTTGATTCGAGCAATGAAAGTGATGGGAGCTGGTTTAGCGGGAGGCTGTTCCTTTATGGAGGATTACACCTACCACTTTGACCCAGCCAATCCGATGGTGTTAGGCGCGCATATGTTAGAAGTTTGCCCAACGATTGCTGCAGCCAAACCGCGTGTTGAAGTCCATCATTTAGGCATTGGTGGTAAAGCAGCACCAGTCAGGTTGGTCTTTAATGCTAAAGCAGGACCTGCTTTAAACGCCTCTTTACTCAATATGGGCAATCATTTTCGTTTGTTAGTCAATACGGTCAAAACGGTCGATGCTCCTCATGAAATGCCTAAATTACCTGTTGCAAGAGCTTTTTGGCAGCCCAATCCTGATTTGAAAACAGCTTGCGCTGCATGGATTTATGCAGGCGGGGCGCACCATACCAGTTATAGTCAAAACGTCACAACCCATATGCTCGATTGTTTCGCCGACATATCGCGTTGTGAGTTGGTACTCATCGATGAGCAAACGCAGTTGTCCCAGTTTCGCAAGGAGCTACGCTGGAATGAACAGGCGTATGCAAGATAGTTTTATCCTGTTCCATTTTGACATTCATCGTGGATGCGAAGCAACAACGAAGGCATTGCTCGTGCAAGACGAGTAGGTCTGAGAAAAAATATACGGTTTGATGTCGAAATGGACCACAAGGGGCAAAGTGTCTTGATACGATTGCCCACTTATCTAGCCCATACGTTGGATTTATGGAGCCTTTTTGGCATCGATGACATACAGATGAACGAGCTGAGCATCCATTTCATCATTAAAAGCAAAAGTGACATATTTAGCGTCCTCGGCAGCAAAATCAACTTCAGACATGCTGCGACCGATTTCCTGATTTTCTTTGTTTAAAGCTTTGGCGATGAGCGTTCCCTTGTAAGCTTTTTGCGCAGTGAAATAGATCGAAATTTCATTTTTACTGTTACCCAAACCTTGAGATTTCGCGATGGTTTTTGATAAGCCAAGTTCGGTGACAGTAGGCTTGAGCTCGACATTGACGGTCATTTGTTTGTCAACGCCTTTACCCACTCCCGTTGCAAAATCGGTAAGTGTTTCTCCAACTTTGCCACCGACTTTTTTGGCTAAGGTATCATTCGTTTGTGTCTCTGCCGCTTGGTTTTCTGCGCTTTGTTGATCATCACTTTTCCCACAACCAGACATTAGGGCAAGAGCAACGAAGAGAATTGCAGTCTTTTTCATGTGGTATTCTTTCTAAGGATAATGAATAAGTGGCATTTTATCAAATTTGTGGATTCTTGTTGGCATCATCAATCGTCAATGCAGAACTAATTCCATTTCCACATCAACCGTGCATTTTGTCACACCTGCTTGTTTTGCTATAGCAATGCCTTCGTCGTCGTTTTGCACTCACGATGGATATCGAAGTGGAATAAGATGATTTTAATAATTCATATCATCATGATCAAGCAAGGCAATTTGACTATTAAAATCGCTACGATGTTCAGGGGTGTCAAAAGGTTTATGGTAGATGCCTT